TGCCGCTTTCATTTATTCGGGACTTGTCCTGGGGCCGTACATGGCTGCAGGGGGAAGAGACAAGAGAAATCCTGGAGGCTTTGAGGAAAGTTTCACCAGGGAGAGCTAGTCTTGGAGAGCAAAGGCGTAGCCAAGGACTAGGCTCAGCGTGGGGCCGGGGAAGGCCAGGTTTCCTCAAAAGACTTTGGCCTGGCAATCTGTTTCCAGCCTGATCTGAAGAGGTAAGAACAAAAGGCAAAAGAGCAAAGCTCAGACTGTGCATCCCTTAGCTTGCCCGCTGAGCGCAACAAGGAGCGCCCACCAGCTCATGGCGCAAAAGCCATCGCACCACGCGGTGACACCCCTTGCTGTGCGCCTTTCCTTTCGCCGCAGTTAGAAGCTGATGCAGAGGTCAGAGCCTCCAAGCCCCATTCCAGCACGAGACACCACGTTTAAGAGAGACCCTACCCAGACACCTACAGTTGGAATACGATAAACGGCCGCCTTCCCAGACAGAGCCCAGCAGAGATCAGGGCTCCGTTCTGCCGAGAGCTGTACCCATCCCTGAGGAGAGCAGCACCAGCATCAAAGAGCTTACACCCTGGCAAAAAGGTGGGAGAAGAGATCAGGACCCTCACTGTGGAGCTGAGGAACAGAGAGAGACTTTGCGGCAGAGAGGCAGACTGAGACAAGGTCTCTGTCATCTGCCCTGATACGGATTAAATGCAAAATGCACTGACATAGAAGCCGGGGTACTGGGAGGATCTCTGGCTTGCGTGGGAAATTTTGGTGTCCATTTTCAGGGCTGACCTTGCTTTCCCTCCTCCACTGCCGGGGGACCTTAGTGGCTTGCAGCAGCAGGGGACGGTGTCTCATGCTGGCATCCTTCCACGGGCACAAGCTGGCTGAACTTGAGGACGCAGGGGGAGAAGAATGGCATTCAAAGGAGTGTCCCCTCGAAGGGGACACATTGCCAAACCACAGGAGCAGATGCATCATAGCTCCCTACCATTTTCATTTTCTTGGCGGTTAAAGGGGAAGGTCTGTCTTGTCCTCAGAGAGAAGGTACCTGCTTTATTGCTTCCTAATGCAGCCAGGTAGTTTACCCAAGCTGTGAGGGTTAGATAAGCATGCTGCCATTGTCACCAGAGTCAGAAGCAGGCCAAGAGCCTGAAGCAGGCCAAGAGCCCAGCTTTCTGGCTCTGTGTGCCCTCCTCTACCTGGCTGCTGCTCTTCCAGATCCCAGACCCGACACAGCTGGGCGAAGCTGCCGGGTCAGCCAACCACCACCATCCCAGGGAGCGATACCAGCTGCTCCCGAGGCAGCGATAGTGCTGTAGGGCTGTCCTACATTGCACCCACACGTACACACCCCAGCTCCTCTCCCCGTGTGCTGGGATGCCCATCGCGCACCCCGCCCTGGGCTCCTGGCAGGCTGGCCAGTTCCCCGTGTTGCAGGGTGGGGAGGGAAGATGTTCGGAGCGCCTGCAGCTATTCAGTTACCGATGGTTGTGTTTGAAGAGCTTCCCTATCGCCCTTGTTAAAGCTTTGGCTTCCCCCCCATAGCCTCAACAGATGAAATCAAAGGGAAGTAGCTTTGCTTGGTGTAACCTGTTTTGATCAAGCAGATAAACGGGGAACAAGTGTCTGACACAAACAAACAGACAGACAGAGGCAAGTCCCACCTCAGCATTTTGTTGCATCAGATACAGAGGGCTTAGATAAACCACAAGAAGGGGGAGATCTCTGCCTCTCGGCTTGAAGACCAGGGGCGACACTCTGCAGTGCCAAGCCCCCACAGTTCCCATAAAAAAAAAAAAAAATCAACCCAGAACTTGCTGGCATGGCTTTCATCAGTTTAAAAAGATGAAAAGAGCTTACAGCCAAAGCATAAAACTCACGCTTGTCATTACCCCCCATGGAGTCAGCGGGACTGCCTGCGAGCCCAGCCACAGCCGCCGCACGCCAAGCCTTAAACTACACCGGCATCACACAGGAAAGGGTAAAGAGGACCCTCAAACTGGAGAGGTGATGCGGTGCTTGGGCTGGGGCTGACCTACACAGCTCCTGGGCGATGGGGGAAGGCCGTCCAACCCACGGCCCTCGCGGGAGAAACGCCTGCCTATTCCCCTCTTCCCCCTCACACACGTACTGTGATAAAAAAGGCTTAAGTTAAACAAAAGGAAGGCTTAAGATTCACAGGACTGGGCAGGTAGGTAATACTCCTTAGAATTTTTTTTTTTTAATCATAGCTTTTTATAAAATGGCAAAATTTCACTACAACCAGTAGACATGGAGGAGTAGAATCAAACATGGTTTTTTGGAGAACATCTTACTAAAAAGCTTTGAAGCATTTTCCATTAAATCGGTGTAGGTGAAAAAGAAAAAGCAGCTTAACTCTCCTAACCTCCTATGAGAGATGAACAATTTTGACAATTTTCTCAAAAAAAAAAAAAGGCCCCATGATTATTTTAAACACTTTCAAAGTAAAACAATGCCCCAAATTACCCTTTTTTCCCCTCTAAGCCTAGAACTGGCAGAGATATGAAAGGATGAGATTATGCTTCTGCTACTGACACTTCCCATCAGATCTTTAGGCATCAGTTTTAGATCAAGGGCTTGGTTTACAAAAGCATTTTGGCACCCAATTCCCTCCAGTTTTTTTTTTTTTAATTCTTCTTGGAGCCAGTCTGCATCTTTTGGTGATGAAAGGCTTTAGTAAATATGCACCTAGAAGGATTTCCATTCTTTATAAGATATAATATTGTTAGTTTTGCAACTGCCCTCTCTTTTGGGGGTAACAAGGTTCCTGGGGACCTGTGTGGATTGGTCCAATTCATCAGAGAATGGGTCTTCAATTAAGGAGTCATTGGAAAACAGATTTTCCCACATGAAGCTAGTAAACAAAACGCTAAACTATTCGGTGTTGCAGTAAATATTCCTCTAACAATGTGTATAAGGGAAAATAAAAACTTCCAGGGAAGTTCAGTACAAAGAGCTTGGTTGTTTATAAACAGAATGGTCGGAAAGGGGCGGGGGGGGAAGCCAACAGAGATGTGTAGAGGTTTTAGGTAAAGCATCGAAGCAGCCCCTCCGTGGGCTTGGCTGGTCGTGAACTGCCAGCGGGGCTGACACGCCGGGTCACACCAGCCGCAGCACAACACCCACAGCTGAGCGCTGGTGCGCGACCCTGCCCTGGCCACCCTGCCCTGGCCACCCTGCCCTGGCCACCCTGCCCTGGCCACCCTGCCCGCGGGCCCGGTCACCCCCCAAGAGGGGTTGTGGCTGTTTGCTGGAGTCCCACAAGAAGCTCCGAACTCTCTGCAGTGCCTCTCATCACAGCTAAGCCTGGTGTGGGGAGCTCTGAAGCTCCGGAATGGATCAACCAGTCACGGGGACTGCATTAGAAAAAAAGAATAATTTAAAGAGGTTCCTTGTATCAGTCCGCAGGGAAGTGTCACTCTTTTGCAAATGAAGGAGATTTACTCGTTCTGATTTCCCTGCTTGATTTGAAGGCTCCTAGAGCAGAGCTAATGCTGCTGCAAACATTTTTGCTATTTTAAAACAAATTGACTTCACTTCTCTGCTTTCTTTTCTCAATTACCACTAGAAAGAGGTGCTACAGCTAGCTCTAATGGCTGTCTGGGAAGCTTAAGCGGAAAACATATTTTATCCAATCAACTGTGGTGCCAGCTTCTCACCTATTTAACACTATTGTCTACAACATCAGCAGCCAGAGTCTCCCACTACATTTAGTAACAGCCAGTACCAAAACCAAATACCCACTCTTGTAATAATACAGCCTTCCGTAATCTTCATTCAACTACGCTATCCATCAGCTCTGTGTGCCAAGATGCATGAAACATTTCAGGAGACCAGTTCCAAATTTAAGGCCCATAACATCTACCAGCAGTTTTTGAAAGAGCTTGGGAAGTCGGGGACATGTTTGTTGCTAAGCGGCTTGGAAACATTTATCTCAAAAAAACAAATTGGGGTCATCTGAAAGCCCTGAGCAGAAGCTGACCTGACCAAAGTCAATCAAAGTTCACTGATGTGAACAGAAGATTTTATCTCTACATTAGATTATGTCAAATAACCCAGCTCAAGAACTAAGAGCACAGAGGATTTCTAGTCTTCAACGTACAATATAAATAAGGGAGTAGTTTTAGTCCCACTCAAACAAGCCTAGGTTGTTCTGGTTTTGCCAAGATCTAATTTTTTTTTCCTAAGTCCTCTCAAATGACAACAGTGAAAGAGAAACAGTAAAAATCATTCCATGTAAAATTTTAGTCTGCTAGTTTGTATCACACCTTGTGGCAGTTGTGCAGAAGTTGGTAGGTAACCTGGCAGAAATCAGTGCTAACACCAGCGCTATCATCTTCAAAGGATCACCCTGTTCTTCAGCCTTCCATATTCAAGGAAAACTGGGACTCCTAGCCATGGAGCAGCGAGAGTCTGAGCAGCCGTGAGGTGGGAGTAGTGGAGATGAGAAACCCAATTGTGCTTCAAGATGAAGAGCGGAAAAAAATTTTTGCTGGAACTACCTAGCTGGATTTGGTTATTCCCAAAGTCCCTCCCATTTTTCTACATGTATGTGGCGAAAAAAGGCTTAGTCCCCGGGGCGCTTTGTGTAAGGAAACGTTCCTGACAAGAACCCCATGTAAAGCGAAGAGCTGTTTGTGCTAAACTGAGCGGATCAAGACTATTTCAATGGCATTATTCCTCTGGCAGGACGTGAGCGTACTTCCATGCTAAAACCGCAGCGGACATTACTGATACACACACTGATTCACTGCTGTTACAGAAGGATCTTGCATGCTGATCAAGATACGAATGCAATCCTAGCCCAGAGCGCATTCTTGATCAACTTCCCAAGCTGGTTGGAAGAGCACAATGTGGCAGCAACAGAAGTCAAGCAAAGCATGGACAGAAACTTCCAGCAGCCATACCCTCCTTGTCTTTTCTTTCCCCTCCTTCCTCGGGCTCCCTCGCCCGCCCCCCATGTCCCAGACCCTCCTTACCTGGCTCCACCTGGTCGGGTTCGTGCCGAGTATCTGTGGAATCTGCCGCATCACCGCTCATCTTGATCTCTGGAAAAGGAGGCACAACTGATTTTAATAACAGGTCACAGTCACAGGCAACAGGCACATGTGGCTTCCACTAAACAGCACAAATGAATGTGTAATTATAATAAACCATCAGACTTTCAAATTTCTGATTCCTCAACATACAGTCACTAGAATATTCATCAGCTCCGAGGATGCACTTTCCCTCCTGTTGCTCTTTGCATCCCCCTCATTCCTTACCCCCCTCCCCAATTTGCTGCTGTGTTCTCACCTTTCGCATCGTTCCTCCCCCGCACGGAGGATGAGGGGTTCTTTAACCGCTGGGAGCCCCCAAGCCTCAGTGGCCTCTCCCCCGAGCTCTGTGCAGGCTTCCCAAACCAGCTGGAGCGGCTCTCAGTTTGACACCGTCTCCCACCACACCTGTAGAGGCAGGGGACCCCTCCCAGCTTCCCCCTCCCCTCCCACGTCCCTTCCCGTCCCTCGAGATGGCTCGGCCAGTGCTCGGTGCTGAGCCGAGCACAAAGCGGGGAGGGCCGGCCTCGGAAAGGCAGGCGCGGAGCGAGATGCTCTCAGAGAGGAAAGTGAAGTCTCTCTCCTCCTCTCGCTCCCTTGCAAACTCACCCGGCTTCTCGCAATACATCTGATCCCCGTTTGCCCTGCTCTCTCCCACAGGCATGTGCTCATGCCCCTCGCAAACCACGAAGCAGCTGCCTTGCTCCAAAGCACCGTCCCCAACCAGGAGCAGGAAGAGCTCCCGCACGTTTCCCTTCATCCTTATCAATGCCAAGAAATTTGTCATTTACCCTTGAAGTGATGGCTGCCACCACACCCGGGGCCACGTTCGCCTTCGGGCACAGCTGAAAGAAAAGGTGGGAACAGTCAACTTTACACTGGATTGCTCATCTCCTCCTTAAAAGAGGCAAAGTACACACCGAGTGAAAGAAGGAAGAATATCTATTCAAATTCAGATGGACACCCCCTCAGCTCTTCTACCCTTTGCACGGGAATTTTAACTCTTTGCAGGCTAGTTGGGAAAAAAGATAGTAATAATTTTTTATGAAGAACCAACTGATTTGCATGTGCTTCCTGCAGCCAATCCCGGCCACCGAAGTCATCCCATTTGCATCGGGGAATAACAACAGTGTGGAAACTGCGCAAGTGTTTGCTGTGGCTTTGCTGGGGTAGAAAAGGCAGGTGGAAGCCTTCTTAAAGGCATCATGCAAACCTTTTCCTCTTTCCTATATGTGCCTTGTATTATTTTCAAACAGCCAAAAGGATGAGAAGCCTATAGGTTTTTATATCTATTTCCCTCTATTAATCACACCAAAGCGGGCAGGCCTTTTAGGTTTTCTTTTACCCCATTCAAACTTCCAGTGTGCAAATGGAAAATTACCTGCTTTTTGGCCAAACTGGAATAGCTTTGTTTAGGTTAAAGTTTGAAGTTTTTTCTTCAGCAAATGAATAAAGGAAGAAAAATAATGACAAGATTTTATACCAGAGACAGAGTGCAGAAACATTCATATACTTCAGAAGCTTCCTTTCTTTAAATTGTATTAAGGGGGGGATGGGGTGGGGAACAGAGAGGAAAGATTTGTGGGGCTGGGTTTTTTTTTTTCCCCCTTCAAATAAACCCTCTGCAATTAAGACATGAACATTTAGTGGGGCTTCTAAGCATTTCTACTGCAGGAAGAGTAATTATCATCAGCTATAAACATCTTCTTGTCTTGTAATACTGCCAAGGGACCCTAACTTAGGCAATCTACAAAGCACAAAGTTTTGCTTGCTGCCAAAAAGTATCTTTAAAAAAGTGGCAAGTTCTCATAAAACAGAGTGAGAAAAATCTTAAACCAGGCAGAAGTTTGGTGCTTGCATTAGTGAGAAAGTCTGCAAGTTTGCAAAAAGTAATGCAAGTTTCACTGTGAGCACACAAATAATGAATGAACGCATGTTCGCAAAAGAAAATTATCCAATGCCCAAGACCAAGGAGCCCCTTATGGGCACAGAGCAAGAGGCAGAGCAATTCAGACAGAGCTGAAGAAGGGAGGATGAAAAAGCAAACCATGAGAAGCTCTCTCCTGCTCCCAAGAATGATCTCTCAGCCTCTCTGCCATTTATAACCTGGGGTGGGTGGGGAGGAACGGAGGAATTGCAGCTGCACCTTGATTACATAACACATGCTATCCATCAGTTAAATTCCCTCCTCCTGGAGTCAGGCGATAACAAGATACCCCGTGATTCTCTCATACGTACAGCAGAAGAATTTTATTTTCACAACGTTTTGAATTTCCATTATAAATGTACACAAGTTATTACAGTTTAAATATCTTGCGGGGAGAACAGGAAGAAAAAGAAAACCCTTTTGATCAAAGCCTGCTGATCTGAGTGGTTTGGGGCTGGCCAGCTTCTGTGTACCTATGGAGAGCAGCGCAGCACTAGTCATCCTCCGAGCGGTCCTTGAGAACAAGGAGCAGACATACAGTGGAATTACTTTCTAATATGATATAAGTGTAGCCAAGATAAAGGCAACACCTCTTTATTGACACCCAAGAGTCTTCCACTGTAAACCAGGACAGAGTGATGCGTTTGGATTTGACCCCCTCTCCATGTGAAAAAATATCTCAAGACAAGACAGACTGTGAGACTTTGAGTCCAACCAAACGCAGGCTCCTTCCATACAGCTTTGCCAGGTTGGCAATATACAGAGAATGAGCAGGCTAGTAAAAAATATCTCTGGGAAAAATCATGCAACTTAGGACTGCCTAACTCCTAACCACAGACCTATTAGGAGCCGCCACTGTGGCCTGGGCCATATTAAAAATGTGCTGCTATACCTCAGCTAGCACACATACCTGGAGTAGGGGTAGTCTGGTTTGTTCACCCAGCCCAAAGAAACTACACCAGTGCCGACTCTTCTCTGGGGATATATCTGCATCTGTATTTTTGCTGAAACAAATGGTGTCAGCAAATAAAGCTTTCCCAAGCCCTTATTCCTAGCAGTTGTTCAGACATGGGCACTAGGGTAAACCAGCCTGATGAGTTTAAAAGGAAAAAAGAAAGCCCGTGGCGGGGGGGGAACTCAGCTTCGCTGAGACAATTACTGGAGCCTACTGAATTTTCTGTGCTTTAGGTGCCCAAGCCCCTCTGGAGGCTGCAGGAAGGTGAAATATCCAAAAGCCTGGGGAGGAGGCAGAGGTACGTGCCAGGGAACGCGCCGCGGCAGGGAAGCCCTCTCGGCAGGGCGGAGGGCGTGCGGAGCCCGAGCAGCCCACCTTCACCTTGCACGCTGCGTCTTCTCTGCGCGGCCGGGGAGGAGACAGCGTACCTCTGCAAGCAGCTCACTGCAAGGTCTTTGGGGACCCCAGGGCTGAACAAGCTGAACTGCCTTTGCACGAGGGTGAAGAAACACGCTCCCACCAGCACTGGGCTCTGGCACGTGAAAATGGTTGGGCCCAGGCTGGTCTCCCTCCCTGTGAAAAGACTGCTTAAAGCTTAGGCCCCTCTGACAGACGGCGGGTGGGATGATTTGGGAGAATGGAAGTTCAGCGTGCACCCAGCTCTGCACAGCTCCTGGACAAATCCGCCCTGGGAGTGATGCCACTGGCTTTGACAGAGGGCACAGTATCGATTTTGGGAATCTTCTCATGAAGAAAGAGTCGCCCACAAGCAAAGCAGATGGGTGGATAGAAGCCTGCGGGGGATGCGTCCCCGAGAGACACCACACACAAGCACACCCATCGCAGGTGCTCAGACTAGTCAGGCTCACACGCTGAGCCAAGACCATGA